AGTTTGGGTTTGTGATGCTTCCCTTACCTGGGGAAGCATCCTGGTGACATCCAGAGGAATTCAGAAGAGATCTGATAAGGCATTATTTTATTAGCTTCTTGGATCAGCTACAAAATCCATGTGACATTGTACTCTTAGGTGGCAACAGACAGTTTATCACTGAGGAAGATCACAATCTGAGTTTTTCCTCTAGGTTGTACTGCTCTGCTTGTCACTGTGGGGACTGAACCAAAAGGGATTGAAACTGGTGCTGCTGATTTTTATCACTGCCATCCCTGAACACTCTGCCCAAGCTGCTCTCCAAGGGGGCATTGATTTCTTTAACAGGAAAAAGATTGTGTACGAATTAAGTATAAATATAGTGTGAAAATGAAACAAATTTCCATGGCTGCTTCTATGTGATTTTACAGCAAATGCAGGAATGTTCTCCCAGTGGATTCACATTTGATGTATTTCTTTTTTCTACATAATGAAATGTTAAAAAAACCCAGAAGCTTTAAATAATAGAAGAGGAAGACAGTCATACTGGGGCTGAGCAGAGCAGTCCCAGTTTGACTAATGTAACTGTACATTCACTCTGGACCTTTGTCAGCACACATTAAAAATACCTCATCAGTTTAACCCATTTCCTTCTCTAGGAGAATCCTGGGGGATCCTTGCTGCTAACTGCGTTGGGAGCCCCAGCCAGGCTGGCAGAGGAACCTCTGAATGTTTAACTTGCCCATTGTGTGATGGCTGTGGCACGGGCTGGCTCAGCACAGCTCTGCCTTGGCAGCAGCGGGGATGGAGAGAGGTTTGGGTGCTTGTTTTGGGCATGTGGGGTTGGACAAGCCCTGCAGGTGCTGTGCCTGGCCCTGGACTGCCCAGAGGGTATTTACAGCTCCTGTGCCTGCCTTGCTCTGCTGCCTTCTCTGGGGGGGCTTGGCGTCTGATCTGATCTGCTTTCAAAGCTGGGAGCAGAGTTTCAGGCAAATTTGACTCAGCCCTTTGGTAAGAGCACTGTGGGTAAGTGTCAGATTCGTTCCTAATCCTCTGGTGGGCACAGCCATGCCAGACAGAACTTATGGAGGAGCTGGACCTCAGCTCTTCTGTTTGCAGAGGGAAAGCTCTGAGGAACTCCTGGAAACCAGGTGAGGCAAAGACCATAATTTTCTTCCTGCTAGAGTCTGTTTAAAATGCTGAAATGAATGTTTCATATACCAGTAAAGCCAAATTCTTTTTATACCCAAGGACTTAAAAGGAAAGTATGGACTTGCACCAGCTGGGCCTTTAAGGGTGTCTTCATACATATTTGAAATCTGGCAAGCAGCAGTGTTTTACTGTGGGTCTTAAGGATAATTTACACTGAAAAAATTTACACCTAGAAAGGAAAGAAACAAATTGGTCACACGATTTTCTCAGCTTACAGTTCTTGGCCGTTGTCACAGGGCAGCAGTGGTGACCTGCACTGTACCACACCTAAAAACCACCTTAGAGGTGAGCACACTTATCTCAGAATGTTATTGGCCTTAGATTCTTCACTTGGATGTCTTTCCATATGGGAAGAAGGTACAAAGTGTTCAGCTTCAGGGAGAATGGACATTTTCTGGGTAGCAAACACTGTGTTTGCACTGCTTTCAGCTCTGAGACCCACTTAAACAGCTGGACTTCAGGAGAGGGCTGAGGCTGTTTTGTTCTGACCCACTTTGCTGCACTTGTGCTTTAGTTCTTCCCTGCAGGTACTCAGGGACACTGTGAGTGTTTGGGGTGGGAAGGGGAAAGGTTGAAGTGTGGGCTGAGGGAGGATCCCCCCAGCTGTTCTGGGCAGTGCTGATGGCATTGGCATCAGGAGGCATCACATTCTGCTTGCTGCTGCTTTATGGGAACTATAAATAGAGAGCTGGGGCCCTCCTGAGTGAAACACTCCCCTTCACTGCCATTAAATCCCAGGTTTGCCCCTTCCCTGTGCCACACATCTGTCATCAGCCTGCTCTTTGTCCTCTGGTGTCTGTGCCCATCACAGACCTTTCACCAAAAGCTGAAGGAGGTTGCTCAGCAGGTGTTACATTCCCGTTCTCAAAGTTAATCCAATGCTTTCTCCTTTCATTTCCCCTCCTTTCTTTAAAATTCTGACTTTAGGCTCTCACTTACCCCATTCTACTGAAATCAGTAGTTTTGTACCTGGAGAACGTGCACTCTCTGTGTTGGTTTGCTTTTACCTGGATGTGCTTGGCTCCTGTGGGACTGGAAGGCAAATGGGAAGAGCTAATTGTGGTAGAGAGCTCTGTAAAAGCTCTCTCAGACCATTCTGTTAATGCATTGAAATCCTGGAGGTCTGAGTAGCATCCACCTTCCTAAATCCTGTGGAATAGTCGTTCAGACTTCCCAGAGAGCTCACAGTAGGACCTGAAGTTGTATTCCACTGACTTCTTTCAGGCTTTATCAAAAACTCAGTGTTTGGGTCACACTTCATAAATATCGAGTTCTGCAAAGCTTCATAAACCTCCTCTGCTCTTGAGCTCTGCCTTAAGTGGGCTCCTGTGAAGGGGTTTGTCTGTCAGGGTTACTGGGCAACCCAGCTGAGATTTGTCTCAGAAAGGAGGTGATTTTAGATGGAGTGATTGACTGAATGTAGCGAGCTCTCAGCTGATTCTGGCTCTAAAGCTCGGAGTGAATGGCAAGAGGGGCATCTTTGCACCACCAGAACACCCTCTGAGGTGTGTCAGGGCCCAGTGCCAGGACACTCCTCCTGCTCCTGTGATACAGCAGCACAGGCAGAAACAGTGGGGCTAAAAATACTGGAGTCTGAGTTGTGCTGAAGGAGAATCATTCCTGTTAAAGAGCATTAAATCTGTGAAAACCCAGCAGATGTTGCACAGCAGTAAAGGATTTGTGACTTTGCTTGCACTTGCTTTCCCTCAAGTGCCATCTCCAGGTTGGCATCCACACCTGCACAAGCACAAAGCAGAGTTAATCTGGGCAGGGTTTGGGTTTGGATCCTTCCAAAGAGATGATGGGATTCTCTGAGATTCAGTGGCCCCATGTGCTCTGGGGGCTGCCCCTCCACATCCCAGCACTCTCTCTGGGAGGGCAGACAGGATCTGCTGCAGATGTGCTTTGGTGAACCAGCTGTTCTGTGTCTGTCAGTGATGCACAGGATCCTGGGATGTGAGCTCATGGCACTTGGAGGACAATAAATGCTATATAAATTATTGTCCTATACTTATAGAAGTCCAGACAGGACATTTGGTTCTCTGCTATTGCCAAGAGAGTTAATCTGGACTTGTGTAATGATTCCAACTTCCACCTTCTTGAACTGTGGCTGATGCAGCTGATGCATTGGATGTACCCTTGAACAAAGAAAAGATAAAAATTAATTTAAGAATATTTTTAATCCTGCTATAAGAGACTGTATTTACACTAGTTTCTATCACTGCAATGGGATGTTTTAAAAGAATGAGTTGGTTTAATGGGCCTTAGTTATATCACATATTCATTGTTATGAATAATGGATTTTGATGGAATAACATTTTCATTTTTATAAATGAAGCATTGTAGCAGTGGTCACGTAATGCCACACTGTCCCTTACACTTTTCTGTAATCAAAATTCTTAATTTAGATTTGTTTGCATTGGGCTAAAATGATGTTTGATTCCTTTAGTACCTGTGCTTGGCAGGAGTACAGATCTGCTCCCTGTAAGCAGAGGAAATTACTCGGGATGCCTTGAATAGTTCCGTGTGGGGAGGTTCAGATGCTTCCCACGAGGAGCCAGCTGAGCCTGGAGCTCTTCCCGGGAGACAGCTCGTTCTTCCCCCGGGATGTGTGAGACTAAATCCCTGGGTCCCTGGGATGGAGGCTCTGGGTGAGGAGATCTGCAGCACTGTCTAATTCTGTGATCAAATATATAATGTTTAGAAAGAAGTCCTTGCATACATTGTCACAGAAAGCATTAAGCAGGGAAGAACTCTGGCTGCTAAATATGGCAGATGCACTGGGCTGAGGGGTTGCACTGGGCAGGAGCACTGTGTGGAATACTCAGCACTGTGTGGAATACTCAACACTGTGTGGAATACAGTTTACACAGAGCTGAAATGCTGCAAGTCAGGAACTGTTTCCTGCACAGGAGCAGAACAGCCTGTAGCTCCATCACCAAATTCATGTGTGTGCAATTACAGGCAAAATATTTGCCAGCCTATAATGAAAACAAACATGGCTGGCAGAATTGACAAAAGAACTATACTGTAGGTACAGCGAATTCCCCCTAAATAGAAAAGAGGTTATGCCAGAACTCAAAATTCTAGGCTCTTATTTGTAGGCAGCACAGAAGGGAAGGGCAGCAGTGGTGTTTCTGGGATCACTAACCCAGTTGGGATTGGCACAAATGGCCTGTTTGTGCTGGAGACTGTTAGTGCTTATTGAAAGTGCCCTTCCTTTGAATGCTGTGTCCCTGCATCCATAGCATTCCACGTCCACGGGCCGGTGTGCAGCCGGGTTCTCTGTGGGGGAAATGTGCAGAGTGTCCCTGACATCCCTGGGAACTCAGGATTGCAGGGATGCAGCCTCTGTCACCGAGCATAGAAACAGGCACTTCAGTGAACTTGGGTCTGGAGATGTCTTGGAACAGTCTTTGGAGATTTTCCTTTGTTTCAAAATGAAGGAGTGAAGAGAACTTTTGCAGGAACTGTGTTCATATCTCATAGCAGAAGAGATTGTCACAGCGTGTTCAGAAGCACATTTCTACCTAATTTTCGTGTTATTAGTGAAGCTAAAATAATTCTTCCAGTTATATTTCCAATAATCATTATAAGGAATGGGCCAGATTCCTGTTCCTGGGCTATTTTTATACCTCTCCAAATGGAGCTCTAAGTGGGTGCAAATTACCTCTGTAACTGCACAGGTGTGAGTTCCTGCCCCCCGCTATTAGAGCATTTAAAAGGAGGGTTGGTGGAGAAGCACTTGCATGAGCAGAGCTCCCTGCATTTCCATTATTCCCAAACTTGGACTTTTTTCCTCCTTCCAGAAAACAGTGGAGAGAACCTGATGCTAATGAAAGGCTGATTTCCCAGCCCTGGGGACTCGAGCTGTGCTTCCCCAGTGAACAGCTCTGGTGAGTCTTTCTCTGCCCATTCAGTCCTCGTGCCTCGGCTGGAATTGTGAGTCTGGGTGGAATCTCTGCCTACAGCCCCGGAGTCCTTATTCAGCTTTTACTTAAAACTTCCTCAAACAGATTAAGGTCAAAATCAGCTGAAATTCTCTTGTTTAACATGTGAGTGAAACATTCAGTAGCCTGTGCTGAGCCCCCAGTGCAGCCTCTGGCGAGGGCTGTGCCTGTGTGCCACTGGCACTGTCCACCCAGGAGCCCTGGAATGGCAGCTCTGTTTGCTCTGGGGCAGCTGGGGCAGTGATTCCCCTGTGCCACTGGCACTGTCCACCCAGGAGCCCTGGAATGGCAGCTCTGTTTGCTCTGGGGCAGCTGGGGCAGTGATTCCCCTGTGCCACTGGCACTGTCCACCCAGGAGCCCTGGAATGGCAGCTCTGTTTGCTCTGGGGCAGCTGGGGCAGTGATTCCTGGCACACTGTGATGAGCTGGAATTAAAAGTAAAGTCAAGTCATCCTGTTTTCAAATCCACACACATTCTCCTCCACTCCAGCTCCCACATGTGAACACATTCTTGAAGAAATCTCTGTTTGAAGGAGAAATAGTTTGCAGCAGCTTGGAATATTTAATCCAAGGCAGTGCTTGCCTAGGCCACACATAAATGGATCGAACTGCAGCTCCCAGGCCCTTCCCTGAGCCTGTGCAGACCTTGCTGGGGTGGATGATGCTGATGGAGCCCCTGCACTGCTGCCACGTGCAGGGGGGGAATGAGGTGTAGCTGTGCCCTTGTCCTTGTGAGCCAAGGGTGTCCTTGGCAAGGCACTGTCAGCAGGGAAGGGGCTCACAAAGCACGTTACAGTGCAGGTCTCCATGCCCAGGGGTGGGGTGGCCCCTGGGTGGATACTCAGCTAATCCCCCCCCAAAACCCCGGTGGGATGTGACCTCTGCAGGGCAGTGCAGGGCCAGCTGAGGTCAGGGAAGGTCGTGGCTGCCCCAGCTGAAGCTGCTCAGAACTTGAGAGAACAGTAAATTCTCTTCTATGAAAGACGACCAGAACCTGGGGAGGGTTTCTCAGATGAGCTGTTACAGACAGGCTTGAAAGGCAGAGTTCTAGAAATCCTGAGATTTTTTGTAGCATGCTACCAGGGCTGTGGTTTTCCAATAGCTTTTCCAGAGCTATCAAATCTGAGATTAAGTGTCATGTAATCGAAAATATTCGTGTGATTCCAACTAATTTAAACACATGGGTGCAGTGTGGACCTTGATATGGCAAATAGAGGCCATTGCAGTGGGCTGGGCAGCCTGTCTGGGGACTTCAGTTGATCCTGAATTTGGCACTGCTGTACTGACAGGGTGACAAAGTCAGGGAACAGTCTCTGTGTGACTGCAGCCACCACAGCTGCTCTGGGTTGGGCACTGCAAGATGACGTATTCAAGCAAATCAGTCGTGTGAACTTCCACTGGAAACATTAGTATTTAATTTTAGCCTTTTTTTCACTCTGGAAGTGAACTCAGGGATGCTGCTTCTGCATTTTAAGTCTCCAGTGAACCAGGTCTGAGGTTTTGATTCAGCCCTTATTCATTCTGATTCAGTCAGATTCCCACACAGTTCTGTGAGAAAAAACGAGTGATAATCTGTCATAAAAATTCCTCAGGATATGTGTGCATCACCACAGTTAAAGATGTGTTCTGTCTGTTTAAGCCAAGCTACACAAGTCCCTGTAGCTTTTGAGACACTCTGGCACTGTATGAAGGCATTTCAGGGAATACTGACCACATGGATTTTGTTACTTCTAGTCTTCACACTAGAGCTTTAAACTCAGATGAAAGGCAGGTGGAATCTGGCTTTGGAGAGGTCAAAAAGAGAATTAAATCTTACTTTCTGTCTGGTACAGCGAATGTCTGTGGAAGAGAGGGATTATAATGATGTCCCCTCGTCATTAGGACCTCCTGCAAACACCCCTAAGGGCTGTGGGAATGAATGCAAGGAGCTGGATGGAATGCCCGGCCAGAGCATTGTGTCTGGATGGATTTCCACATGGAAAGCCACCCGAGATCCCTTTGTTCCGAGAATGCCTCTCTGGGGACCCTCCCTGCAGTGCGTGGTGCTGCTACCCAGAGCTCTGCAGCCTTATCCTGCAGGAGAGGGGCTGGGCACAGGATCTGGCCTTGCTGTCACTCTGTGTTCCGCTGTCCCCTCTCTGGGGCAGTGTAACACCGAGCTGCAGTAGAGCATGACCCTAAGGAGGAGTTCAGTGAGCTGCCTCCTGCCTGGCATGAGGGTGTGCAGCTCCTCTCCCCCGCCTCCTGCCCGTGCTGTTTGTGTTTCCCCGTGCAGGATTTGTGCTCACCAGCACTCCTGAGCCCCCCTGTGCTGGCTGCAGCTCCAGCTGCTCCCATCTGTGCGTGGATCCTGCTCTGGGCGGTGCTGCTGCTCCTGAGACAGCAGATTTTAGTGTAAATAAATTCACGTGAGAAGTACACAAGAGAGAAGGACTTGGAGCAGGCGAAGAGGGAGGTCCTGAGTGTTCCAAAAACTCCCCAAAGCTCTCGGGGGTTGCCTTTTTACAGCACACACTGACTGCAAACTGACAAATTGTTGACAAGAACAACTCCTCGGCCCCCCTGGAAGTGCCCACGACCACAGATGCTCTACAAAGAGTTCAGGGAACTTCACTGAGTGTTGATTACTGCAGATGAGGAGGAACTATCACCTTTGAGTCTGGGTGAATTCGAATTGTTTAGGATAGAACACACAGTTTAAAACAGAGGTTCTAGGAGATGTTTTTCAAATATATTAACCTTGATCCAACTGAAGATTTAAGTTAGACTTAATAACATGGCTTAGAATATTGTTTTGACATCAAAGACACAGAGTCTTTGAGTTCTTTATCATCATTTTCAAGGTCTTCAAGCCTTTGTCAGTGCTTTAGCATTCTTTTAGGACTGGGCTAAAGCACAGGCAGAAAATTCCAAGGTTTTATTAGACACAATTGCTCGTTCCATAATGAAATGTAAAAAAAGATTCTGTGTTAAAAATATAAACACATGGAAGCATTAAGAAAACCTGTGTGAGCTCATTGAGTGCGGATTAGATAAGAAAAATGCTGACTGGATCACAGTGGCGAGTACTGCAGTGCTTCAGAGGGCAGGGGATATTTTAAAAAGGGAGGTATTTTAAGAAGGCAGGGGGTTTTTCCCTCCTTATGAACACCTTTGTCTGTGCTGGTGCTTCTGCCCAGTCCTTCCCATGCAGTGAGACACCACGATGTGCTGGGGAGCAAACAAGGAGTACACGGAAAATGTGGATTTGAAAGAAATCTCTTTTACTATCCAGGCTTATCTCAGTTCTTGTTTACACTTGATTTTGCCACAAAACACCCTCTGTTGTGGGCTCCCAAGGGGAGGGAAGGGTTACTGGCAGTTGTGCTTTGCTGTAGGAACTGAAAGACGTGAAAGGTCTCAAAGGCATCTCTGGGACACCTGGATTTGGAGATACATCCCCTGGGCACTCTGATCTGCCAGGAGAAGCTGCTTTCCCCAGTCAGTGCCTTTGGGGATGGGGAGGGAAGAGAAATCCTGGTGGACATTGTTCTCCTGGAACAAAGGGGAGTGCATTTATAACAAACACTTTTTTATATGGCTGAACTCCCCCAACTGCCTCCAGAACTTGCACAATAAAGGCATCTCTGACTTGGCAGGGAGGAGTTTTTAAGAATCGACTTCACAAACTGGTTTTGTTCTGCTCTTGCTGTGGGGTGAGCAGTAGGAATGCCACAATGGGACAAAAGAAAACACTCCTCCAGCCAAATTGTGCTCTCCCAGCCCTGCAGACCCACTCTGGCCAACTCAGTAGCAGGAGCAGAAGTGAGATTAAATGTTTTAACCCCACAGATGCCTGAAGTCTGTATGTATATGTGGGCAGGATTAGGGACACAGAGGGTGGTTCACTGTCTGATAAGGGCCACACTTCCAGGAGCCAGGAACTGCAGTGCAGACCTGCTCTGAGCAAGGAGGTCCCAGCAATGTCCCACCATGTCCCAGCCACAGGCACAGTGACCTGTGCTCTGCTTCACAAACAAGGCAAGAGAAAACATCCCGAGATCCCTCCCTCAGCCTGCAGGCCAGGGAAACACAGCAGGTGTGTCACAGGACCACCTCTGAGGTGTTGGGATAGGAACTCACTCAGCCCTTCCTCCTGATGCCCTTGGCTGAGCTGGAACCTGAGTGAATGCTCTGCTTGGCTCTGGGTGCAGAAAATGTGTTGAGAAACTACACCCTGTTAAAGCATCTTCGATAAAGCAGCAGAAACAGTCCTGCTGAATGTAACGTGTGTCTTTGTTCTGCTGCTTGGGCTGTGTTTGTGCTGGGAACCAGCCCTGCTGTTGCCCGTGGAAGGCAGTGGCTCACCTGCAGTGGGGAGGCAGAAGGGTCTGAGGTTAGGGATGGTTCTCGTGTGCACGAGGGAAGGCAGAAGTGTGACCCCAAAGTGTGAGCTCTGGAAGTGAGAGGAATGAGGAAGATGTTGCTGTTCATGTTGGGCACTAAATCCCTGGCCCATTTCCTTCTCTTTTGCCAGTCTGAGCTGTCCCTGGTGCCAGGGCAGGACACACAGTGACCTGGGACACGCAGTGACCTGGGACACACAGGATAGCCCGGGACACTGCGGGACTGAACTGAGCAGGAGAGACACGGAGAGGGAGAAATCCCACAGCTTTATCTTCCTAAAGCCTCTGTTCAAGGTCAGCGAACACAACAACTGGGCCGGAGTTCCCCCTGGGCCGTGTGAGCCAGCCCGGGACCTGCCCAAGGTATCCCGCTGTTTTCCTGTGGCTCTCGGTGCGTTCCTGCGGGGCAGCGGCTCCCTCTGCCGATGGCAGACACTCCTCACGCCCCGCTCCTGAGGCAGTGCAGCCGAGGAACAGAACGTTTGGAAGCTGTGCCATTGGCCCCCCAGATGCCCACACTGCTCGTTCATGGGCTGGTGTGTCCTGAGCTCCCCTCCAGCCCCGGCTGGGCTGGACCCCCGGAGCTCACACTGCTCAGCACTGATTAACAGCCCCACAGTGCTCATGCAATTTGAAAAATCACTTAAAGGGCAATTTTAATGTATTAACACTAGGACACAAATCTTCAGTGCTTTTTGTACTTTCTGTTTTACTCCAGTTTCTAAAACTCAGTTCCTGGGTTTTCTCCCTCTTACTGCATCAGTAACCAGTGAGGTTCTGCTCCTGTGCTTGCTGTGTCGCTGAGATTAAAGGTGCCAGTAATTCTCATTCCTCATTTTCCATGGAGCACAAGCCTAATCTGGACTCTCAAGAACCATAAAACCTTTGAGGACTTGGTGCTGAAGGCACCGTGCATTCCATGTGCTTCCAGCAAAGAGCCAGAGGCTGCTTGGGTTTGTCCTGTGCTTGACTTTTTCCCCTCTTACAAACTCAAAAGAGGGGAAATTTACGTTCAGTATTAGGAAAGAATTGTTCCCTGGGAGGGTGGGGAGGCCCTGGCACAGGTTGCCCAGAGAAGCTGTGGCTGCCCCATCCCTGGGAGTGTCCAAGGCCAGGTTGGACGGGGCTTGGAGCAACCTGGGACACTGGAAGGTGTCCCTGCCCATGGCAGGGGTGGCACTGGGTGGGCTTTTAGCTTTTTCTTCATTTCAAAGCAGGTTTTTCATCCCGTGTGTATTTATTAGCAGTGCTTTAAAACACCCTTAGTCTTTGCTGTGAGTGCTGCTCCTCTTCTGTGGTGTGCCAGTTGCTGATCCACTGCTGAACAAAACTAAACCACTGCTCATCTGCTGTTAAAGGGCAGGAAAATGTGCAGGAAAATCAAGATCAGACACCTGCTCTGGAAAATACACAGAGGAAATACTTGAACCGAGCAGACACTGAAAGTGTTTTACCTCATACTGTGTCCAAATGCCATTTTTATTTCATTCTGTGAAGTCAAACCTAAGAAGTGTGCGTTAAAATGACTCGAACCATTAGCCATGCTGATAACTAGCACTGATTCCAGAGGAAGCACTTAAGTAATTCCATTGACTTTAATAGGATAATAATCAACAATGATTGTGGCTTAGTCTGAGGATGTGTATAGCTGTTTTGTTACAGTAATGTGGTCTGTAAAGCAATAGTTGCTCTGTCAGTCTAATGAATGTGTTAATTAGTGACTGACTGAGCTGGGGAGGAGCAGCCCCTGGCTCTGCTGCCCTCACTGCCACCCTTCCTCCAGCCAGCTCCCACCACCCACCCCTGTGCTGCTTCCCACCCTGCTGAGAGGTGGGGCTGCTCTATTATCCCATCAGCAACTCACACAATGTCCTGGGAAAGCTGCTTTTATCCATATTCCTTTGTCAGTGTGTGTGGGAATAGCCCTTGGTTGGGCTCAGTTGACCTGAGCAGCTCCTTTAGCTCCACTGCTACTTGTCATTTCTCAGTCGTTCTGCCCTCCAGCCCTTTGAAGTGAAGCTTCTTCACAGAACATTTCCAGGCTTTGTGGCACTGCCACGACTTCACAGACACTTGTTCCCCTTGTCCTGGCTGTGCCACGTGGAAGGGTTGTTGAACTGGAGTGGTTACTCTGCACTCAGGATGTCAGATGACCATGGCCCACTGGAAGGCTGCCCTTGGAAAAGGAGCATGGCTCAGGAGGAGGGTTTTGTGGGACTGTCAGCAGTGTTTGTTTTCCAGCCTCACACCTGTTGTGACTGGGGGATTTCATTTGAGAAAAAGCTGCCTTGAGTGAAGAAATGCCCCAGACTCTCACTCTTCCCTGCCTCGGTCAGATCTGTTCAGCCCAGTTTACCATTTAATCATGAAAATGAATGTGAACTCCATTGTACCCAGTGGTGGTGTGTTCCAGCCTTAGTTGTCATTTCTGTCACCTCTGTGAAGAGGTGACAAGGAGCAGAACTTGGCTTTTTTAGCATGAGCATGTGAGCAAGATCTCACAGAGTCATTTAAAGTGGAGAAGCTGTATCACCAATATAAATTTTCATGTAATTAAGAGAGATGGAAAAAACCCCCAGAAATTCAAGTTGGAAAATGAGCCTCTCCTCTGTGCCAGGAGTCCTGGCAATGTGTGAAGACAAGGACAAACATTGCAATAACCTGATGCTCATCAGCCACCAAACTGGGACAGGAATGAAAACAAATGGGGAAATGGCCTGTTGTTGTTCTCACAGCTGAGGCTCTGTCCCGAATGTCCATCACCTGTATCTGTGTGTCCATCACCTGTATCTGTGTGTCCATCACCTGTATCCCTTCTCCCTCCCTGGCAGAGACTCCACTGAATACACTCCACAGTACCAGAACCCGGGGACAAGTCACAGCTTAATGGCAAACCCAGAGCACTCCAAGGGTGCACTTCACAGAGGAAACCCCTTCAGTACCCCCAGTCACACCGTGCCAAATGCTTCCCTCCATCCTTCAGTTTTGCCTCTTTTTTTAATTGCTTCCTAAGTAAAATCAGTTAATTTAAGGAGTAAGGATTTCCCTATTTTG